GAACCATGTTAGGAGGTACAACCGATACCACTGAGGTGTATGTCTCTGATAAAAGAGGTGGAAAACCAACACAGATTCTGGCCTTGAAATGGCCAGGTTTGCGATTATATGTAGAGGAGTTTCTRCACCAAGGAACAAAGTTCTTGTAATCATCAACATCTGCCACAACTGCATAAATATCTTCCATAGAATACCTGTGTTTTAATCAATCATAATCAAACAGACTTATTATTAGTTAAGGTAGTATCTATTTAAATATTTTGGTTTTAGATCAAAAGCATGAATTTTGGTAACAAGATCAATGCCTTACAGTAGACTACCTATGCCAAGACCTATGTACACTCCTACGCGTGTAGTGGCAGCAAGTACATTGAGTACACAATACTGCGTGTAACAAACTACATGCAGCTGATTTCCTGTATGAGTATAAAATCCTTTTGTTTTGTCCTCCATATTGAGCTTTTTTAATGTAACATGCGAGGGGTCTATATTTTGTTGACTGCTAATGACAGTACTGGTAGTGATTTTTCCATAAACATAAGTTTTTCAGTATCAAAAAATCAAACAATTWATYGTTTTTGTTGACACTTGGTATAAAACAAAAGACTTATTGGCTGGATCCTCAGGAAAGCAGAGTGTTTTGTGGTCCCTCAAAGGTGATGTTTYCCAAARTYTCAGCACCACAAAGCACMMTGCTTCCCWCGGTCCCAGTCAATAARTGTTAATAATAGAGGCTTTGCAGTTYTATGTGCCGGCACCCATAATACAGCTTGGACTGCCTGTGGTTAGATGGCAGAACAACAAAATCCCTTTGCCCTTGGGAATTGAATTATTATTGTATTGTTCCTGCCATCTAAAATGGCTGCCGTCACTTGATGGTTCAAAACCTCTATTGAATCGTGGTTCACTGGACCAATACATGTCATATAAGCTTATACTAGAGAGTGCTTCCAAAATCAAACAGCATAAGCTCTACTATTTTCCTCATAAAAGGGAAATATGATATTACAAAAGTGTATTACAAGGTTATAGGCGGAACWAGTGAAGTAATACATTTGTAGGTAAAATCACCAATGAAAGAAGTATGTAGATATTTTTAGTTTTTCGCAGATATATTTTTTTGAAGCTTGCTTGAGATGATTACATACCCTATTATTCTCCTCTCTGAATATTTCTTTTTTCGTGACTGACCAGGTCTAGGTATAAAACCAGTAATAAAAGTTCTCCTTGGAATCAAAACAGTTTCAGACGGTGATAAGTAAAAATCTTCTTGGGTCTTTAGCTCGTTTGTCATAGCATTTTTGTTGGCACAGGAAGAAAGTAATCGCCGGCGATTACAGGCGTTCACAGACCTAAATAGAACAAAACCATTCAATATAACAGATAAAAGGCAGATAAAAGGCAAATCTCTCCAAATTTACCCTAAACAAGTCCGCTGTATAGAGCAATTRAGGGATAAACGAGCTAAACGGGGTATTACACCAAACGAACCAGCCGCCATCTTGAATCTCCCAAAAAAATAAATGGTTTATGTCGTCATTTGACGACTACTACTCGGAAAATACTCGGAAAGTCATCGGCTAAGTTGTTCTTTAATCAGCAGGCCTAAATAATATTACACGTCCAACATGGTGGATCAAAAGTTGGACTGCAATGGTTTTTCTTTAAAAAATACACATAACGAATGCCATGAATGTAAAGGGGAGTTTTCAAGCAGCACAAGCTATTGGTAAAGAAGCATAATTTTTCTAAATGTTTTTTAAAGCGCACTGTCATTTGCCTAGCAAACACAAAGTCTTCTGTGTAGACTTTCTCATACTCAAAGTCCATCTGTAAGTTTATTACCCCTCACGACTTCGTCGGTTGGACTCTCAGTCTCGCACACGGTCGACTTGGAGCAAGTCTATCTTCTGTCATGCTGGGCTGTAAGATTAAATATTTCGTTTTCCTTTTCATTCATTGCAGCATCCTCCATCAAGACTCTGCTTGGACCTTCTCAAAGGTAATTTAGGATTGCTGACATATAGCCATAGCAAGCTTTAAAAAACTGGGAGGGGGCACAAAATCACTTTGCAAATGAATATTTAATCTAGGGAAAACAGATTCAATCAGGGCAGAACAGACCCTCTCTGCGCTGTTAAAGAGTCATAAAAAGACAGGCTCATTAAGTTCTTGATAGTATCAGGGGGATATGATATATGTAAAGCTGTGATCCTGTTTTTTATAGTGTGGGATGCATTTTTTAAATACCTTTTTCCTTCAAAAATATCTTTAAAATGCAGAAAATAACATTCCTGCGAGCCATATATTAAGAGTTTCTTTGGAAGCATGCCCCTGGACCTCCTTTGGTTTCATTTTGCATAGTCAGCAGTGAGACTCGTCTTACACTGAATTTTACTGAGTCTTGATTATATTCCTCACTCTTTAGTACCAAGTGCTGTGTTAATGRTGAAGATGATAGCAATGCTATCATATGCAGCAATGCTGCCAAGATTCTTCAGTACCTGGAAGTTGAGGTTTGTAGACATACATTTAGAATTTTCCTAAGGTACATCTTGATTTTCCTTAAGGATCCATTTTATTGATATATTTTGCAGTTCCCATTAGGGCTGCAAGATAATTAACATTGTCTTGCCACCCCCCCTCCCCACCCATTATAGGGGATACAAAGTTTGAGCAAAAAACCAATGATGATTCTAGTTACTGTAATAAATTATAGTTAATCCATTTGTCTCACAATTGAGGGCCATTTATAGATATGACAACAATGATTGCACTGCAAACTGCTAGTCTTCATGAGGCATGTGGTGTAGACTGTATTGTGCGTCTGTTAGATATGTTGGTTTGATCATCTGTGTTGTCATAGTTAATAGCTAATAATTAACTAATGAATTATGGTGTTTTGAATGGATGGTCTGTTTGTGCAGTAGTCAATAACAGCACGAACCAATCATCCAGTCAACACAATTCAATGAGGATTCAAGGACACACCACCTGATGAAGATTGACTAGCAGCTTGCAGTCAAAATGTCACTGCCCTTCCTTCTGCTAATATTTTTTTCCACAATGAATAATATTTTTTCATTCTAAATTTTTAGTAGTTGATATAGCAGAAGGGAAATGGAAAGTAGGTTTAATGATTGTCATTTGTACAATATCTAGCACCCTGTAGGGTACATCATCAATGATGCTTGYCAAGCAATGCACAAGACATATGGCTGTGGATGTAAAACATTAGTTTGTATGATAGGCTTTTGGAGTAGATCAGCATTAACACTACAACATGAGGTGAGTGTCCACCTACATTAAAGACACYAAATATTGTTTACCAGTCTGTAAACAGAAACCTTTAATCTTTGGCTGCTACCTTGTAGTGGTTGTGAATCTTACATGTCAATCACAGTAGTTTTGAGATATAACCTTCTGTGATTGGTTCATTGGATAATAAACTATCTTGTTACATATTGTGGTACATTGTTATTGGAAGAGTACCTCCCCCAGCACCATTGATACATGGTTAAGTACTATCCCAACTGCATGTCTGTATACATGACTGCATGTACGTAGGTACAATAATTATCTTTTGACAGTCATAATCTCCTCCAATCAAAAAGTGAAATAGTTTCTCTCATGCCTAAAATTCCTGTAGTCTCCCTTGCAGCCATTTTTAATGTTGTCACAATGGGRAGGTGACAATAAGAACAGCTGTGGGCTAACATTTCTGTTGATTTGCCTTCATTTCAGGGTGTTCCTTTATCTATCATATRTAAACTTTTTGATGAAGCACTATTTAACTGCTTTCAAGTGCTTGAAGAAATCACACTTCCAATACAAGAGATACTCTACGAAAGAAGTAAACATGGTGCTATGCCATCAAGCATATGGAAAACATCACAAGAAGATTCCAGTCCAACTGGCTCAAGACCATCTAGGTTAATAATTGAAAAAGTATGGTTAACTACTGAAGATGATATTAATGAAGTAGRCTTTGCACATAGACTGGATGGTGGTTTGCTAACAACAGATAAATCTCTTGCACTTTCTCTGAGCATGCATGAATATAAAAAGGAGATTCAAAACTTGGCTGCAAAGTTGCCTAAAAGCAACAAAACCCACGACAAGAGCATATTTATGGCAGATTCTCAATGTTGCTCAGTCATCAAAGGAAATCCTTCTAGACAATCTTTAATATTTGATGATACCGTTGAGGATGASTTTGACTCCTGTTTTGATGATTTACCTGTCAATGTTGGAGCGAGTTCTTTGGAAGGAATGGCATGCAACAACACAAAACAAAATACCAATATATCAACTAATAAATCGGAACGGGAGAAAATGGATCAAATGCTAAAAGATCTTAGTTTTTCAGGACAAAAAGTAGGATCACCTAAGGTTTCCAATGGAAAAAACGTTTTAGAAATCTTAAAAAGTTGTCGTAACTTGTCTATTGATTCTCCTAAGACACAAAGAGTACAAGAATCTTATCAGGAACAAAAACATTCTTTTCATCAAGGTAGCTTTAATTTGGGCTTCATAAGAAAAGGAGATTTTGAAAGACTTGGGAAAATGTTATCTCATGGAAAAGACAAAGTGATGGGTCTTGCAGTGGAAGTCATCTTTCATCAGATATCTTCCAGTAGGAAAAAGATGCATTTGAATAGATTTGATGTTGATGAAAATGCTATAAATATTGAGAGAATTATTGGACCAACAAGTACTCATTCAAGTTTAGTTAATGGAATCCTCTTGCATCAAAAAGCACAGCYAATTGGAGCATTTCCACTGAATGCTTTACGTGTGGCTTTGATTAATGGAGACATCACAGAGGAGTTTAGACATGTTGGCTTTAAAGACTCGTTTCAGAGCAAGAGGATTTTTAATAAAGACTCTTATGAAAACTTTAGACCCAGCAACACCTCCTGGCTTCAGATGATTTTAAGTGTCTTGAGAACATTGAATATCGGCGTCATAATTGCAAGAGGGAATATTGATACAGACCTAGAGGACAGCTGTCAAGCATTGAACATACAAACATTTTCAGGAATTTCGTCAAAAATACTTCAGCTTTTGTCACAATCACTTGGTTCAACCGTCATAGTTTATCTTACAGACTTGAAAGAGTCTCATATTGGTAGACCTGTTATCCTTCATCACTGGAGTGGACCACAGCCTGGGATGACCAATGATAATAGATATTTTGTAGTTTTAAGTCTGTATGAAAACCAAAAAGCTGAAGCCACCTTGCAGCATGGTAGAAATAATGTTGGATTAAAAGAAAATATGAAAGAACCCATAGATGATAGAGAGATTTTGCAAACTGTGTTGTTTTGTGGTCCATCTGAGCAACTTGTAATGGATTTAGAATTATCATTCTGGAATTGTGTTTTCCGTCTTCGAAACACCATCAACTGTGGGTCTATTTTACCAGGAGCTGGAATTACYGAGATGACATGTATTCAGAAACTCAGAAAAATATCAGGTAAGAATGAAATAAACCACTTCACGTGAGACCTGAATATCAATAATTATGTACTGTTGGAATGCCTTTTAACTTCCCCATAAGACCTTAAGAACTGTAAATATTTAGGATAAGAATTTTCCAAAGCAAAATCTTGAACCTGATTTCCAAACCTCAAATTTATTTCTGCTTCACCATGTTGTTATGGGGTAATGCTGAGATCAATATGTTACTTTGAATGCAACATCTTTCAGAAACATTGTAAATCTTTTATACTAACTTTACAGCACAACACGCAAAAGTATGGCCATATTTAATCAATGTATTTGCATACTTCTGTGCCCATGTTCTGTCATTAAACCAACACATTTTGATGCAAAACTGGCTGGTTTTAACAAATAAGGCATGCGAACGCTATATTTAATGTGGTCATACTTTTGGGCATTGCACTTTAAGTTATGATTTGATGTTTGAATTGACAGAGAATCCTGATCACCTTGAAGATAAACCCAGTAAATCCTCAAGTTGGTTGCAAGTGAGTCTATCATCCTATCGCCCAGTGGTATATGCAACATTTGCAGATGGACTCGAAGAATTTCTTGTCAATCTTTTATCTAACAGTGGGTGCATGATGAACTATGGTCAAGCCCATACTGCTGTCCAGGAAGCACTAGATGACCATGACCAACAATCATCAGGGTACCAGTATCCTCTGGTAGCTGATGACTTGATTGCAAAAAGGAATGCATGGTCTAAAGCTGTAGGTGTTGTATGTCTGATGCTACAGTCAGACATGGCAATTGTAACTGGAAGTCAGACTAGCTAGTACAAACTAATCTACAGCACTGACTCATCTGTATGTTAGACATATGTTATTTACCAGCTTGTTATTTACCAAGTTGGTCTGAAAAGGGAAAAACTGCTCGAGGTCTTGAATATATGGAACAAGGCCATAAGTCAAAAAAAAGTTTTAGGTTTTATTCCATGTTTTATAACTTGATTTTGGAAAACAACTTTGTCATTTCATATTTCACCAAGATGTGATTAAACCTGTGATAGTGCTATGCTTTCATGGATGCTTGGTATCCATCATTATTCATTCATGTACATTGTACAAATGTATCTTGCAGTGAAACCCTTTTATGAGGTTTTATTCAATTGGTGGACAAGTACTCACTTATAAAATAAATAAATAATAATTTATTAAACAAAATCAGTTGTGTTGTAATTATTTTCATACACTCTTCAGGGTAGAACATTTTGATGGGTGTGCCGAGGGTGTGCCTAAATCCAGATGACCATACATTATCAACCTCATACAAATGTGCAATCAGCTCCAACATACTGATAACCTGTAGCAATAGTCTCAATAACCTGGCTGCCAGAAGTCATGTTCCAAAGTCTGAGTTGTTACTATTGAATGCCGAGTGTGTTGTGTCATTAGGGCATATTTGAAGGTATCAACAGTTGTTCCATCCATCAACTTGTTGACTTATTCACCATGATGCATTATTTCACCTATTCCAAGTCACTTTTAGCCCAATGTCTTACATCTGTAGGGCACTCTGGGTATTTATCAACAGCCTCCATCACCTGTCTAGWGTTCAGCAGTAAGACCATCAGGCGATATTCCTTTTGTACATTCTTTGATGAACCTTCTATGGGTTTGACTAACTCCAAAGCTAACAAATGCTCAAAGGCCTAAAAAAGAGACCAAATATTATGTGTCTAACTATCATAATAGCAGGATTTGCTGCACTTTCTGATGAACAGACAGACTGACAACCAACCAAACGTTAAGTAAATATAGAGAGAACAAAAATCAAAGAAATAAGAGTGACAAGCAAGTATACTAACCTTAAATACTACTTCTCTTTCAAAATACTGAGCTGTATGGCCAGGCCTCTGAGTAAATTTTTTGTATTCTGAATGATTTGAGAAATATTAACTAAAATCAGATCTTACACAATAATCAGACATTCTATCATGACATTTTATAGTTGGACTACTGTACTACCACCTAGAAAGAGAAAACTAATCAAATTGTAGAATGAATTCAAAAACAATGCCAAGCCAATGTYAAGCCAATCAGAAGTCTAGACTTCACCAGAATGGTAATTTGACCCTGATGTTACATGTAAACATCTAGATAGCCAATGTCATTTTCTTGTGAGAGTATAAGAATATATGTTCAAAGGCTATTGTTTTCTGCTGGTTTTGGATTGGCTCCAATACCAAAAGTTGGAATACGTTGTTTTCATTCTAAAATTTGATTGGTTCTTGCTGTCTAGGTGGCCCTGGTTATAGTAGTCAYACTGTAATAATTCAGTTTGTTTTGAAGCATCAATATTTTACTTAACCAACCACCCCAAAAAATTGAGATTGCTGACTGAGTTCTCAACTCAAGGGCTGTGAAGTATCCTAAAAGAGTTGATAGATAGATAATTTGTAACACCGTATGGTATGTAAAAATGAAACTGACGTTTCGGACGTTAGTCCTTCATTGGAGTAAACCAAAAAGAGGCTTAGATTGGACAATATAAGAGAATGGTATACAAAAAGGTAAAAGTGAGGGGGGGCATAGATTGGAAAATTAGCAAGAAGYGAGGAGCTATAGCCCCACCTCTGCCCCTCCCCCTCCCTCTCCACTATCCATTTCTATTTACTTTGTGTATRACTCAAAGTTGGACTACCTATATTGAACTACAACTGCCATGTTCTGCATACRTTTTATGAATTTAAAATCCTTACATTAAGCTCTGCATTAAGCTGAAAGATTGCTAGGCAATGTACATCAAAGCACTCTGGGAAACTGAGAATTGCAGAAATGGAACAGGATAATCAAAAGAAGTATTGCAAAAAAACTGTTATTTTTGTCTGTTGAAGTATTKTTTTGGAAGGAAAATTTTTGAGATTAATTTTTAGAGGAGGTGAAAAAGCATTTACAAGTTGAATCTCAGCTTACCATCATGCTTTGTACTAGAGATCTGCGCTTATAAATGCACATTGGTTATTGAACTTTTATGACATACCTTTGAAAATCATTTCAAAATTGAAAGGGTCGCCACTGTAGGTGRCTGTCAGGTGTTTCATGGCCACTATTAAACAAAGCTCCAGCACTGATACACCTAATCCAAAACAACACTCAAAACACTCAACGAGTAACTCTCAACATTTGATGTACTTACAATGAAGCCAACAAAGCATTGAATTGATTGCCATTAAATGGAGAAATATGATGAAGCACAAACTGCAAGATCACTTCCCCTAAGATTTGCTACACATGTCAAGTGACTATCAAAGGAATGTTGTGAATTTTCCTTTTACATTTACCTTTACAGTGCAACTACTGAAAACAGGACCACTTTTTTTTTTTTTTGCTGCTTTCAGATTGCCTACACTACCCAAATGTATTGTTTTTATTCTACAATATTTTATTGGCTCTTGCTGTCTAAGTGGTCCAGGTCTTAGTAGTTAAACTGTAATAATCTTAACACAAACCTTCCCAGTTTGACAGAGATTGAAGTATGAATTGAATACTGAGAAAGTTTTTTCAATACCTAAGAGAACTGCTTGCTTATGATCTTTTTGAAGTTCCTTCTGAGCTGTCTGAAGATCTGCAGGTGTCAAGAACGGATGCTCTGGGTTTAACTTGCACACCGGTGTAGTCTGTTGAGTAAAAACTACTATAAACATCAACATGCTTTCACAGAGCTTAATTACCGGTCATTATCACATGCCAAATCAGTTCTAGCTTGGTCATACAGGCTCATTTCTAACCAAAATGACTGACAAGACAAAAAGATTGGACTGCAAAAGTATTTTAATACTTAAAAGTCTTATTGTCTCACCAGAAGTTTGTGCAGGGATCTCACATCTTTYGTTAAGCTAAATTGCTGCCTCAATACATCTTGGGCTTCACTACTCTTGATCAAATCCTAAAACAAATTGAAATTATATTCTAAAATTAATTTTAAAATATAGGTATATTCAATAACTAAATCAAATGATGTTTATCCATAAGTATACACTTGATTGAAATAAATCATAATAAACCCACCTCAAGATGTTCATTCCATCTTTTATAGAATGTCTTGTTTGAAAGAGAGGATGGAAGAGACAATATGGACCTAAATGAGAAGTGAAATAGGAGTCCGAACTGGTCAAAGGAGGCCAAGATGCATGGCTGGGACTGAAAATGCACATAATAATAATAAAAAATTATTATTATTTGGCATGTTTCAAATATGGGTTGGAGCATAAACAGAAGCATAAGTGAAAGCATGTTATATATTAAAAAACAGAGACATAAGCAGAAGCTTAGCATCAACAGGAGCATGAGCAGAAAGATGGGAAGGTTTCCTTCTCCTTAAGCTTAGAACTGCTTCTATCCTCTGTCACAAGTGAAAACAATATTCTTCTGCTTCATGACAGAAGCACAGAAAGTCAAGTTATTTTCATTATTGAACATAAAAATGAGATTTTTCCATTTATTTTCCTTGCGCTTCCTCACATTCACAATTTTCACTAAAACATAATGATTTCA